TACCTGTAGATATACAGAAGGAAAGTTACCATTATCAAAAAAAAAAAAAAACTGTTGTGTGTCTGAGGAAATGAAAAGCAAAAGTTTACTAAGTCTTTGAGTACTTCAAACTCAAGAGATAACCAGCCCCATAGGTCATAGGAAGAAAACATTTAGTCACAGTACAGCGCATATCAGGGGGCCATAACAGAGAATCTCACATCTATATAAGTGTGTATCTGAACTCTAAAGTCTGTTTTCACAAGCAGCAGGATGTGACCTGTTATACAAACTTAAGATGCAGAAAAATCTGACAAACTCCCAGACAAGGTGAAAGTTGATATATTTTCTGAAAAGAACACTTAAAAGAGTTGATATATTTTCTGAAAAAAAACACAGAGAGAGAAATGTAGTTACTGGAAAGATCTGAACCGCCCGCAGACAGCACTCATAAGCCTCGTCTGGTTTCAGATTCCTGTTAGAAGCGTGTTCAGCTTTATATTTCACATGAAAGGTGCAAATGCATCATTCCATATTTTTTCTATATAACATAATGAATTTACCTTGCAGTAGCATCAGCCGACATGCCTGACCATGGCAATGAAAGTGAAGGATCAATACTTCTTGCACGATCAAATGCTAGCTGAGCCAATTGACTTTCCCCTTCCTGCCTATAAAGCTATATGAACCCAACGTTTAGACAGATCTAATCACCACACATGCATCAATCAATTTACATAACAGACCCGACCTTAATATACTGTATGATCATGACTTGCAACTGTTAACAGTTCAGCACATTGGATAAGGAAACCCTACACATGCGCGCGCACACAAAAAAAAAAAAAAGAAGGAAGCAGGTGACAAGAAAGACATGATTCTAAAGACTACAGTCATCTATACAAATAGGAACATTGTGGATGCTTAAAAAGTTGAGAAGTACTATCAACGTAAAAACTCATTTTCTTCTCCTCAGATGCTCACTTGTTGCTGCCCCTCCAAAGTCCAACAAAAGGATCAATGGACCAACATCTCATGTTCTGCATCCCCTTCACCTTTTTCTGAAAGACAGCTATGCAACAGATCTTTCACTGACCTGAAGTTAATCACTATACTCCAAACTGGTTAATAGTGTCCAGCACATTTGCCTTACAATCTAGCAGTGCACTAGTAAATGGTTTACATCTTCTCCCGTTCTTTTGCGTATACAGCACCAAATAGTATACCTTCTTTTTATAATCGTGGTGTTCGGGGCAGCTTTCTCGCATCTCAACTAATTCCATGGGATAACTTCACCTCCGAACAGCACCAGACAACTGTCCTTCCTTTTTTTGAAAATTGACAGCAATTAGGATTGCCCCACTTATTGTCATCTAGGTGAACATGCACCTTTCTCGTACTGTAGTAAACCCATCTACCAGATATAGGAAGTTCAAGTTCACTCTTCCTTTTCTTTTGTTTTTTTGAATAAGATAGAGATTAAGAAGTTCAAGTTCTCTCTTTAAAGTAAGCTAGGGAGAAGAACTTAGATTGAGTACTAGTACGTATGGCTATGGATACTGCAAACAGGTTTTCTGCAATTGCCGCCGAAATGCCGAGAATGTCCCACTTCCCCACAGTTATCTATTTTCAGGTGTTCCTTGTGGATTATACATCTACGACCTTAACGATTCATTGTTTTTGTTCAAATTTCCTAGCATGAAGTAGGCGGACAAGTCATGTTGGGCAATCTCTAGATGTGCAAGTCCAAGATGCTGATTCGGATGCTTCTACTCAGTTTCAGCGTCATGTTTTGCAGTAAAGCAAGCAATTAGGAGTGGATTTTAAGGATTTTAAACGGGGTTTTTGGTCCTGATTCCTGATATTTGATAGCAAAAGACGGGATGGCAGAGGCACCGTCTTAGTCCCATTTCAATCACCACCAAAGGCTAAGGGGCCAACGAAATAAAAAATTTGGAAATCGGGGTAAAATTCAAGGAAGGAGAAGCTAGGAGGGAATCTAACTTAACAGGATATCAATGAAAGCTAATATAATCCCTTAGGAGAAGAGGGGTTTGAATGACCTCAAAAAGAGGAGGATCAAATAATTATTAATAGAATGAAGAGTGGATATCTTTTGATTCCAAGAAACAAAAAATAGAAGGGAATATAGGGGATGTAGCTAGACATTTATTGGATAACAGGTGGGATGATTATGCCACCTTGGTCAATGGAAGAAGTGGATGAATTCTTTTTCTGTGGGATAAGAGGGTGTTCAGGGAGATTATTATTGACCGGTTTATTCTATGACAGTTAAAAAACTCGTTCATCAATAATAGGGATTTTGCTTGGTTTTACAGTGGAGTTTATGCTTCAAATGACAGAATGGAAAGGGAGAAACTTTGGTGGGAGTTAGCAGTAGGATCCAGAGGGCTTAGTAAGGGACTTGGGATATGTGATTTTGAAAGTTTATAATCTCAAATATCTTTTTTGAGAATTAGAACTGTTGTATTCTTCAGCATTGGGAATGCTAGCCACCATCAAAATTCAGAACAAGTTATAAAACAAGTAGACTCTACTCACTCTAGCTTTACAAAGCTCCTAGAGATTCTACTGACTCCTCTATTTCCTCTATACAGTTATGTTTACACCAAACAACTAAAGTCTCCAGGCAGTTCCATTTCACATCATGGACTGGTCTGATTTTGACTTCAAACACCTTCCATTTCTTTCCCTCCAAACTGACCACCATGTGCAAGAGAGTATTATCCTCCACAAATATCTTTTATAAAAGGAATTTGGAGATATGTGATTTATCAATGCAGCGCCTTAGGATATTCCATATCTTATTTATGAACAATGGTTTGCTCATTTGATAAGATTTGGTAAGATTATATAAGAATTTAGGAAATTTTTGAGAGTTCTCATGGTGGGTTTCACATTTATGAGAAAAAATACAACTTAAGAAATCCAAATTGAATGTCCAAACAAAACTTCGACTTCAAATCAATCTTATTTCAAATCATGTCCAAAAAGGGCCTTATAGTTCCTACAATTGGATAGGCTAGCTAAATTTCTTAACTATGACAATAAGGCCTAATATGAACAACCTTTATATAACATTGATGGGTAAAAAGTATGAGCAAGGCTATAAAGACATCAGAAGTAAATTATTCAATCCATGTGCTTGATTGCACACTCGGTCTAACAGTTCATGCAAAAACACAATGATATTTCCAGGTTTTTGACTCCTGTGACTAAAATCTTATGCATGAACCAAAGTAAATATATTTTTGGATCTTCTTACATGAAGCCAACAAACTCAATGAGTGTTCTTCAGAACCTGAGGAAGAAGGATTGTTCAGAATCTATGGATTCTAGCATAAATATTCAACAAATAGAACTGTAATTACATGATCCATGACACAATGTGCTCTACTAAAAGGTTTTCTTCAGTTATCTGAGGGTTTCGAGAAATAAATGAAGCAAGTTACCTTTCCAAGATATGCCCATGCAACAGCAAGAGAAACATCCAACTGCAGTGCTCGTATGAAAGCATGTTGCTTTAATGCAGAATGATCAGATAAACACCCTAAGGCTACCCAAAACTCGCTATTGCAACCTTCAAGCAATAAGCCTCCAAGGCACATCTTTTCAGACACAAACCTGAAAAATGAGCTAGTGTAATAAATGAGCTAGTTCAAATGTAAGAATATATTAAGCAATAAAATAGAACACATACCAAGGGCTCATGTCATCTTTACAGTTCTCCTTTAACGAGAAAAGAAGATCAGATGCAATGGCAACATCAGTATACACATTAGCTTGCCAAGGGGACAAATGCAATGCCCGCTGGTAGGAGCAACAAGCAGATCTGACTGCTAAACAGCACATTCTCTTCCATGACAAGATCGAACTGCTGAATGAATTTTCGTCAGCTCCTGAGCCCAATCCTTCATCCATCCATGGAAAACATTTTGCATATGTGAGCTAACCAAGGATAGAAACAGCACCATAGTCAACACTAAAACATAAATGCAGTAAAGTAATAGGATGGGGGGAGGCTTGACTCTTGACATGCTCTACACAAAGCTGTAGGAAGACATGAGATTTTGGGAGATGGAATTGCACGAAAATAACTGGCATATGCAAAGAAAAAACATAATTCAACAGAAGCAGTTACCTGAATATCTCCAAGCAGCTTCCAAGCACAAGATATATTGCCAACAATGGAAGTACTTGCTAGAGCCACCTTTGAAGCTTCCTGAAATCAAGCAAAACACTTGAGAAAAATCTCAACCAAAAAAAAGAAGGGCGAAGTAATAGAATAAGTATGTCCTTTTGCACCATAATGCTACAGAAGCAAGTGGAATTTCAAATGCTGTATAGCTAACCTCTAAGAGTGAAGCTCCCCATTTAAAGGCACCAGAATCAATGGATTCCTTTGCCAAACTAAGGAGTGCAGAGGCAAGCCCGTGATGCGCGGACAAATTCAGAGGTGAGATTTGTAAAGCTTGTCGAAACTGCTCTATTCCCTTCATTCAGGATTGAAGCGTAAAGAAAGAATTGTTAAAAGAATCTGAATATCTTTCATAGGTATGATCTTCACCCATATGCGCTCATAGCCAGATATTTTCTTCATTTTTTCTACTGGGAGAAGCTTTTTGTACAAGTACAAAGAACTTTTTGTCTATCCTTATATAAGTTTATTTGGCAGAATAATACGTAGAGGCACAATGTACACAACCTAATAATTTTGAATTCATACACGAGTCTACTAAACCAAAGTTCAGGAGTACCAATCCAAATCCACACTTCGAACTACATATATCAAGCTTGTTAAAATTGCAAAGTGAAGCATGGACCAGAAGCAAGGAGAAGTTTTACCTTCCGAAACGAACCAAGCATCAAATAGACATTTCCGCTTTCTACCAGTGCAAATACTCGTGATTCCTCCAATTCAATAGCTCTTCCATAGGACTATTATAATGAGAAGAAAGGATTGAGAAACATGTAGCAGACATTATTTTACAAGGTAAAAGTTATGTTAAAGAGTACCAAGATGGTATAGAAAGGAGCAGAAATACAAAGCACGGAGCAGGCAGACAATATATTCTCTTTCCTAACAGATCTAAGAAATCCATATGCTGATTTAAACTCAATAGTGGGCTACTTTTACACCACAAGTACAAATTTTATAAGCATCTATTTTTAGTTCTAGAGATCAAAATTCTTTTCCCTTCAAAAGAAGCCTTGTTCCTCTCCAACCAAATTGTCCAATAGATGCAGAATGGAACAATCCTCCATATCTGCTTTCTCTTTTTAGGAACCAACAGCTGCTGCCAACTTCCCATTAACCCCTTTAAACTGTGAGGCATCACCCAAGTAATACCTCTAATAAAAGAAATAAACCCCAGCATTGTCTGGCAAATCTGCAGTGAAGAAATAGGTGCTCAACTGACTCCTGATCTTCTTGACACAGATAGTATTTGTTGCATTGGACAAAACTTTTCTGCAAATTCTTTGAGTTTAGCAAATTCTTTGAGTTTAACATGCCCCTCAAGCAGCTATCCACCGAAAGCAAGCTATACCTTAACAGGAGCTTTTGCCTTTTGCCTTCCATATCATGTTCAATGGCCGAGAAGCTTCCATTGTCCTGACTGCTTTATCAACAGTATGTAGCAACTCTTGACTGAAAATTTGTTCTCTTTGCTTGCTAACCAAATCAGAGAGTCCATTATATTATGATCAACAGAAACTGATTTCAGCTGCAGTAACTGACATAAATGCTCTATCTTACAATCATTTAAATTTCTCCTGAAATCAATCTGTCAATCAGTATTTGCATGAAACCAGAAAGCAACTGAGCAAGTTAGGAAAAAAATTTGGCTCCATTACCCACCTTAAATTTGTTAAACTGGTTGAACTCTTTCCACTGATTACTAATGCTCTTTTATAGCGCCCCCCCCCCCCCCCCTTCAATATTTCTCCATGCTTCCTCTTTACCATGGATAGCATTCATTAACTCCTCCCCGACTTCATTCCTCCCATGTTATACCTCCAAAGGCATTTGAAAGTAGACCTTTATCATTTAATTTCAGATTTCTTACACTTATTCCCCCCCCCCCCCTCTCTTCTTATCAAGGTGTAGCAGGCATCAAAGGGACGTACTACCACTGAGACATGGCATCAAAGGGATGCACTATCATTGCGGCACGGCATCAAAGGGATGTATTATCACTGTGACACAATTTACTTAACTATTCAAACATCTTACTCCAATAACAACAACATTCCCGATGTAATCCCAACAAGTGGGGTTTGGTGAGTATAGGATGTACGCGTACCTTGCTTCTACCCTTGTGGGGTAGATAGGCTATTTCCGATAGACCCTCAGGCCAAAAAGAAGTGTTATGAAAGCAAGATTGGAAAGAATATAATGGCAGCAAAATATCAAGATACACAGAGCAAATAAGCAGCATTCAAACAAATTACTCCGTTCAACATTTTTTAATACATATACGATCTATGTATCAATAAACCAAAGATTTAAAACATAAAAAATATAGAGGAAGTGTAAAAGTAACAAAATTATTGATGTCCCTTATCCTTTAAAGCATGCCATCTACCATTAAGTAGCTCACTCTCCTTTCATATGTTTCAATGATATGTTTCCATAGATTACTTAATCTCCCCCTCTCGTGGATTTTAACTTCTCTATCTGCCCATTATGAACTAGAGCATAGGTAATTACCTTAACAGCGGCTGTAAACATGCCCATTTGCTGGTAGGATAGACCCAGGGCCTAGATAAGTAAAAGATGGAAGAAATCACTGAGGACTGAACTAGTGACGGAATAAACTGGACAGCGTCAGAGCAATTATTAGTAAGAACAAACGAGAGATAGAATAGGAAATGACCTCCCACAAATCAGCACATGTGGGATAGCCTCTGATGGCCTGCTGAAGACTCTGCACGGCTTCGGACCACTTGTTTTGGTTGACCTGTAAGTTTGCAATGTATTTGACAGGACGGAAAAAGGAGGCAATGAAGAAGTAGAAAATTAGGGTGAGCAATAACCAGAAGGTAACCCAATCTGCATAAAGCCCAAAAGGCCCTGGGCGACTTGAGTGAAGCTTCACGGCATACAGCTATCTCCAAGGTCTCTTTTCCAGTTGCGTCCAGTATATCACAAACTGCTTCCCCAGCAATTGAATCGTCTGGATTAAGGCTAAGAGCTCTCTGATAACACTTGATAGCCCTCTGAGAGTCGACAGCTACTCGAGCATAGTAATGTCCCAAATATGTGAAAGCAGCAGGGTTTTGTGGGTTGAGCTTGGCTGCTATGAGAAAATGTTGTGCGGCTTTCTCCTTAATATCTGGCAATTCTCCTCCCTTGTCCCATAATAAGACTCCGAGATCAAAATGGAGAGAAGGGTCGCCGGGCTGGGAGACAACCGCTTCTTCTAACCGTCTTATAGCAGCATCGTCTTCTACACTCTGACAGATTTTAAAAAAAAAAAAAAGCTTAATGATGATTAAAATTACTACAACTATTACGTAAAAGAGAGAGAAAGGGTTGAAAGAAAGAACCATTTCAGCTTCTGAACCAAATCCTTGATGACTTCGCCGGCGAGGCAATCGCCGATTATACAATCCAGCTTCTAAATTTCTCTCTCTCTCCCTCTTTCCTTCCGTCTCTTTATTTTCAAAATGGTCCCTTGTACTATTTTTCTAAATAATACTTTTAAGCATTTTTTGTTCTTTAAATTTGTCTCAAATGGGTAAAACTTAATTTGGCCATAGATCATAGTATTCGAGGAATATATTTTAATTTTTGAAAAGTATGATTTATATAATATTTTAAAAATTATTAAAACTAATTTTAAATTTATATTTTAAATTAATTGAATCTTTATTGTAACAAATAAAAAATAGTGTTTATAACACTAGAACAATGTGATAGTTTGGAATATAATATTAATCAAAGCACCCTTTGACAATGGCAAAAAATACAATTAGCATTGCACATTGGATCTGAAGCAAAAGAAGTTGAATCTGAGAAGACATGATATGATAATAGTGTATTACCATACAAAGTGACCTGATCAAATTAATCGATATAGCTTCAAGCTATGATTTTGAAGGTTTTTCTGCAAAAACTCTGGCAGCAATGTGTGGCAGCCTATATGAGGAAACAATACTTTCATAATCACTCAGTGCCTCACAAACTAGTCCTTTCAGATTGTGCGTTCAGGATACTGAGGCGCACGCTGCAAAGCCTATTGGATTGACAAGCAACAACTACATACACAATGGATAAGATCGCAGATAACCAGACTTCAGAGCAAGCTTAACTAGACCTGTTTGGAATTCTACAAGCTATTCATAGACAGACACTATAAGAATCTCCAAATAAGACAAAAACAACTGAAAAGAAATCATGTATGAATTTTCTGATAAAGCAATAATTGAATTTACTTGTTGGGAGAATCAGATGTATATAAGTGTGTATCTGAACTCTGAAGTCTGTTTTTAGGACATGACCTGTTATACAAACTTTAGATGCAGAAGCAACATGACAAACTCCCAGACAGGGTGAAAGTTGATATATTTTCTGAAAACAACACTTAAAGAGAGAAATGTAGTTAGTGGAAAGATCTGAACCACCCGCACACAGTATATATAATGATGCTTACATGACTTCGCAATTAAATGAGAGAAATATTTTTATTATATAAGTACAACACTAATATTGACAGTTAAATGAATAATCTCCTTGGATTACTTGTTTCTGGATCAAATATCTAAACGTCCAACTTTGTGGCAACCAATAAAGTAACTTATCGGCTCTGTACTCCTTCATGCAGGATCTGACTAGTTTCATCTGAGTTTCTGGTAGAGATCCCATGATAGTTTCAACTACTTCATCCGTGCTCAGGGACATATCTTTTGCAAAATAGCATATGATTTTAGGCAGATAAATCCTTTTGTCCTTGTTAATGCAAATTGTAGCCCGTATAAACTCCTCTTTTGCTACTTTAAGATCCTGAAATACGTTCTTCGCTGTGTAAACCTGAATCTGCACGTGTCAACATATTGCATTAAAAATGCATACTAGAAATGCGAAGTCCATGAATTTTTTAAACTAATAGCTTGCAGGAACATTACCGCGGGATCAGAAGATGCACCCAAAGACAGCGCAAAGTGAACAAGTGGCTCAGGGTACTCAATCGCATATGTATGTCTACAATTTCCTGTCGCAAACTTTTTTCCTGGAGAAAAGAGCGTCCGTAGCCTCTGCATTCATGTTGTATTAGAGAAAGGATCGAGTCCATAAAACGCATAATTAATAGAATCCAGGGAATGCTACAAAGGTTCCTCCTCCTTTTTAAACAATTATTTTTCCCTATCCCACCCTTTTGTATTTTAATTGTTACTCCTCAGTTTAATTTTGTTTTACCTGTATTGACCAGACACAGAGTTTAAGAAAATAAATAATGAATTTTGAATTTTGTGGTCTTAAATTAAAATATGTCAAATGTACCAAAGAGTCATTCTTTTTTAAACGAACTAAAAAAGAAAATAGGTTAAAAGAATTGAGATGGAGGTTGTAGTTCATACGGGGGAGCCAAACTCATATCAATAGTATCTGAATGTAAAACTTACAAAATATAGATGCGAAACTGCTGGGAAGTGGGAACCACTCAATAAAAAATATGTTGGATAAGACCATCCTCTTTACAAGCATAATTATGATTTAACAAGCTATACTTGTCTGTTTTTGTTAGCATTTTCTTTCCTTCACAGGAAGATCAGATTATTAAGCAAATAATTTCAAGCATTTCTCTAACTAATATAGCATTGAAGAACAATTCACTAATTAAGAGAATGTAACGCTGGTGCTCCACAAGCAAGTTAGCTAGAAGTGCTAAGAAACCTAGTAAAATAGTTTTATCATGAAATGACGCAGGCATGTCAATCTAGTAATAGGATGCTTCTCGTTTTTGTTTTTTTTTTGAAAAGGTAAGATAATCTTAGAATAGGATTTTACTTAGCATTCAGCATACCGGTGCAGAATAGTGTGGTTGTATCCCTAATATGGAGCTCTGTATGACATAAGCATTTACGCAATGACCACCCACATTATAAGCTGCCTGCAGTAGTTTTATGACAAACTCAGATTTTTTGATACTATATATAAGTAAATGCTTTTTTTAAAAAAAAGATAAGGGCTATTCCTTTTACCTTCAAGATTGAAGAACTTCTGACAGAATTTTGAGTTCCATAGGCTAAATAAGCCTGAAAAGAAGTCATATAGTACCTCATAACAGGCTTCAATAGGATGAACTAAATAGTTAAAAAAGAAAGAGAAACACTGTAGTCCCCATATTAGGAGACCAAATCAAATGCTAGTCTTGAGCAATGAGTGCAAGAATAGCTGATGCTAGTATAAAGTACACTACGTACTTAGCCAATCAAAAGGACGCATAATGCATTTCAGAATGGCACTTCATGTGTGATTATTTGAACAACACATTTAGTCCTAGTATGGTATTGGCGACGAGAAGTATAACTGAGAGTGTCATGACCTCCCAATTAGAGTACGAAACGAATAAATAAAAAGGTTGAAACTTTAAAACAATAGCTCCACCTTGGATGATTTTGTAGTCTGGTAAGCAAAATGTTTTTCATCAATACTGGATAATCCATATCAATTTGTTTCAGGGTAAAACTTTACTAAGCTAATGTTGAAAAGTTATCTTTGAGAAAATCTTACATGCATCACCAGGGCATTGTGAATATTAATCCAGAATGTTAACTTCTCTTCACGCGTCATGTTTCTTGGATCAACCTTTTCAAGGCTCTTAACCAGTGTCCTGCAGAGCATCAACGTAGTAAAAATAAAACTTATATACTACTATATTGAGTATATTCAGATTGTATTGTCATTTCTCCATTTAGAAGTTGCATCTTCTCTTTAGCCTTGATTGGTGGAGAAAGGAGGGAGAAAAGTGACAATTATTTATAAAAACAATTTCTGATGCAGTAGAACTTACCATTTAGATGGAACATTTTACAGCTTTCAAATTAGTATGACAAATTCAAATTGGTGAATTAAGCTTGTCGAACACTTCTTAACATGCTTTTTAATCAAGTCCACACTAGCAGGTATTGAAGATTTTTGTACTCTTTAACTCTATTTGAACTACTTGTGTTTGTTGCAAATAACCTGAACTTATGCAGCATTGTTGTGGCATAATTGAAACTATCATCATCTAGACATATCTTCAAAATTTCTATCACTTCAAATTCATACTGCTCAGTGCTCTCCTCATTGTGATGTGAGCTCCAGCTGCCCGAAAGATTTCTCGGAGAAAATGTGCTTGATGATGACAATGACGAAGTAGAAGAAACTGATAATCCCTTTGGAGCAAGAATATTGGGATTGGCAAATTTGCAGTATATACAAGATATGCATTTGACTATTTCTTCAGACAGCCTATCAGGATAACTAAGAAGGTCATCCATGCGAGAGGCAGTGAGGTGATCCGCAAGGCTACGGTGGGCAGAATCCGTTAATTTTTCCTGCAGACCGACACTTTGTTACCAAATTAATGCCTTGAGGAAAGACAAGTGAGACAATTCTAACTGAAAGAAAATACTGATAGTATATATGTCAAAAGTGTAGGAGTTGGATGTATTGACCCTTATAGACGATGAGTTTTTGGCAGTCTGAATCTGATCACTTACACCAGCCAAAGCATGTGCAGCGGAGATTAGATCCGCACACGTATCCATTTCAACATCGGAGTATGATTGGTGTGTTGTACACTGGGTAGGGGAGCTTATCTTGATTTTCTGATTATTTTCCAATACAAGCGGGAGAGCTGTCCGATATAGTGAGAGAAGATATCGTTCCAAACGCATTATCTCAATTTCGAGAGTAGTAATTTCTTTCATCAATTCCATGGAAGACTGCAAGTTGCGCTGAAAAAGGAATTGCCTATTACAGACTCATTCTACAATGTTCCAATATCAGACAAAAAAAATTATGAGGGTTGAAAAATTCTCTGTGAACTTGAAATATCAAAGAGTTTCCTTGAATTAGAATTGCATACAACAAATTAAAGTAGCTAGTCTAATACAGAAATACTAGCAATGTATGTATGTACCTGGAATTTGGGAGTATGATTGGAGTTGGGAGAATGATGGTTATAATGTACTGGTTCCTGTAAGAATCAAAATCTGGTAAATGAAAATAATAATAACAACAATAACAGTAATGTATAGCTTACTAGTGGTGTGGGAGACATATTGAGGACATGAGAGCTCTGAAAGAAGAGTAGTTTTTATTATTAATTAAAAATGGTTAATCAGATGGAGTGAAGGTATATCAATACTGAGGAGCTGCAGGGGCAATCCAATTCCAGCCGACACAATTATATGTAATAATCTTCGACTTCGAGATTGACAAAGAAGATGGAGTAGGGATAGGTAAACCAAATGCATTAAATGCCAACACACTATCATCAATCTTCCTACTCCATTATTACTCCACTCCACTATATATATATATATATATATATGTACTAATTAATTCCACTCTGACCATAGAGAGTAATAGTAAAATAGTAAATTGGCACACCAACACCTATTTTGCTGCTTGACTTTTATGAAATACTTAAGCACTTCAATTTTATTTTTGCCAAAAAATAATCACTCTTTCAACAGAAAGTTTTTGTTTTTTTTCAGAAAAATAAATCATCCCTACTCGTGTAGACTACTAGACTATGATATAAATTATAACAGACCACCAGAAAGCTAGTAGCAGTTATGACGCATAATAAATGAATTAAGAAAGTAATACTAATAAATAACAATACAAGAAGAAAATAAGGTAGAATTGATAAATTAGGTGTACGTATGGCATTAACGAAGTAGCTAGGTATACTTAATTCTAACGAGTTCATTGGGGGGATTCAATTAGCATTCATGATTAATACTGCAGGTGCAGCAGAAATGGGTCCTCCATGTCTGCTTATACTAACCCAACAACTTTTTACTCTTTTTTTATCAACTCCTTTGTGTTTTATTTTCTCTCTCTTTCTCATTTGCATTCGTATGATTGTTCCATGGAATTTAATATTTGGCTTCTTGTGCCTTTGAACTTTTGAGGTACATATTTGGATTTATGGTATAAAATTTTATATAATATATTACCTATTGAATATCGTGATATTTGTAAAATTGTGTGTTTAATTATGTGCGCAAAAATAGAGATCAATTAAAGTCACCTTATTCCAAATTCCATTGTAGCTGGTTCATGAACAACATAATTCATAATTGTGGATTGTATTAACCTCTCTTTATAAAGAAAAGAAAAAAAAAGTTACTTCAAATAATTTGAGTGTGAAGTTATTAGTAATAGGATGGGTTGATGAATTTTTGACATTAAATACATGCATTTGTACTCACTCCAGTTTACCGTAGCAACTACAGCAATGGTTCATTAGAAAGGGAAATAGGAGAGGTCCTGACTCTTGAGCATTTATTTGTCGGGTCGAGACTTGTACATAATAGAGTAGTAAGCCAATGCAGCAGCTCCCATCTGCTAGGCGCTAGACTTGTACCCACGAAGAAGAATCAACAAAAAACTGTATGTTTTGATTTGTCCAAACACAGATCAATAAGTTTGGAATGGCACGTACTATTGTCATTTTGGCAGTAGAAGAAATACTAGCTGTATTCAAGTCAAACAATACTTAAAATAAAGGAGGCATGAAAAATAGGGAACATTTGTCAACTCTCCTGTACGTCATGTTAGATTAAAAAGTAAATAAGAAAAGTGGAAGTTGATAGAAATCGGACATTATTGTTCTGAACGAAAGTGAAGAGCTTCTCTTATAAATCCGGAGAATACAATTTTTCCTCTTACACATGTACCAACTTTTTTCATTCCCACCTAAACAGTTATTCAATGGAATTGATGGAGGAGAAAGTCGTATGCAGGACCACGCCAATTGCTATTGGGTGTGAACAAATTACATAACTACAAAATTTGAGCCAAAAACTTAAATTATATTTATTAATTAGCCAACCCCACCACTTTGAACTTTTTGTTCTGTTTTTGGCGATTCCTCATTCCCATTTAATTATATAATTGTAGTGAGCGACGACTTCACACGTTAATTTCTTTCTACTCCATTCCCCTTAAAATCATCATCCATCCATACATTGTCTTGTGATAAAATATACCATGTGACATGTCTCAAAAGATATAAGTAGTTTCATTTTCTATTTACAGATTAAATGGGTGGTCATGTCTTTTCGACAATTTTGATCACCCGAAAGTCAGCAATCGCACAAAAAATATATTATAGATTGTTAATATAATAACTTAATATGACAAGTTTGTTAATCGATCAAATTCAAATGTGAAAAAACAAAATGTATCGTCAAGTGTAGATTTTTTTGGTTAAACTGTACTAATAAGTAATACATGGTTGTTGTTGTTGTACAAGCTAATTAATTAAGTACCATTTACATACAAGGAAATTTAATCGTATATATGTAAAATATATATTTGTTTTGTATTTACTATATATATATATATATACACATACACGTGTAGAGCGAGAGAAGAGCACTAACTCGCATCGCATGTTTACCGGCAACCAAAAAGAATATATCATTAACTAAAAAAGAACGAACCCTTCTTGAATGGTGATAAGCTTACGGAAGGATCGCACAGCCATCTTTGCCCGGCGTGAAGATAATCGCTGCAATTTTCTGACCGATGCAGATCTCATGGAAATCCCAAGTCCTACGGTAGTGGACTTGTAATAATTATTGGTTTCTTGTTCTAGTGGAAGAAGCATGGGTGAAATTCGGTTCTTACTCGTGATCTTCCTAGACTTTCGGCTTTTGTTTTTGTTGAGTTCTTCCAGAGCAGTGCTTGCCTTTAGGGCAAGAGCTGCCATGTCAGAGGCAGTGAGTGGATATTTAAGCTTGGAGGCCGGAAGCATGAAATAGATCTGATTGGGAAGAAGCTGGTATTGGGAATCAAGTGAAGGTATGAAATGGTCAAAGTAAAGACGGTCGGAACTGCATAGGAAGGTGGAAGAGATGTCAGATTGAAGAACTTGAGAGACGTTGATGGGAACGCTATATTGACGGAGCTCTCCACCAATTGAGATGACGTAGCTGGTCAGCTGCTTTTGATCGACGATATTCGAGGAGGAAGACAAGCAAGCACCCATAATAAATGTTTGTGGGTGCAAATGAGGCGGTGATTGACCTTTATATAAACAAAAAAATTTCAATCCCTAGCGTTTTCCTATCTTTTTCTTAAAAGTGTGAGTGGGGTCCACGACGACTCATTCATACAATGACGGAAGTGACGGCGTCATTGCCTGCTGGTCAAGCATAGATTTTTATGCAGTAACACCTTACCCTTGAAACCCAAGCAAATACGTAACCGACTGGACGGTTTTTAATTGTAAAACTTTTTTCTTACGTACAAATCAGTCTATCTATTTTATTCAAATTTTAAGAATAAAAATATATTTAATTAAACCATTTTTAGAAATTAGATCCTCTTATCATTTCAAATGAATTCCATATGTTTTCTTCTATCATTTCAAATTAATTCCAGTTAAAGAATCAGCATCACGTCGATATTGAAACAATTAACAAATATCTAAATTTAAAAATTACATAACGTTGCTGATTAATCATGCACAAATATTGTTGAAAATTTTCCAAAAAAAAAAAAGAAAGATAATAATTCAATAAAAAAATTATTCTGAAAATAAGTAAATATTATATATAAATAATAGTAGATAAATTAAAATTTTAAATCTTGTTGAGCGTTGTGGTAAAAAATAATTTCAACTATTTCCTCAAATTATCAATGGTTTGTCAAAAGAATAAATGAGAGCATTTATAGTGCTAGAAGGAAATGGCACCATAGTAAGTGGCAATCCAAACAATTACATGCAAAGTGACATATGGAAGCAGAGGTGTAAGAGATGAAATAAAAATCTTGTAATTAAATTAAATCTCATTTCTCCAAGTTATTTTTCCAATGCACTTAAATTATTTTAGCTTTATAAATACATATTTAAAATAAATTCATTTGAAATAAATATTTACTTTTACTTACAAATATAAGGCCAAGTGATTTACATTGACAATTTTTTAGTGGGTTGGATTATTAATAATTTAAACAGATATAGTTTTAATTTTTTACGATTTAGTTTTAAATAAAATTGAATATGGGTTATAAATCAACATTGATTGATTTTTTAAAGAGAAAAAGCTTATAATAAAGTGATTTTTGAGTTAAAAACTAAAATTAAAGATATTATTTCTACTTGGTGTAAACAAGACTCTTTTAACTTAAAGTCCTCTTTTGCCATACAATAGGAGTACAAAAAAAAAAAGTAAAAAGAGAACAAATGGAATCTTGACTTTGCGTAACTACCTAGTGCATGATTGAATTGTCATCATTACATTATAATAATTAGGTATATTAAGGTAAAATGTAAACTAGTTATTAATATACAGTACGGAGTATTTAATTCAGAATTGTTAAAAATTTATAGTGCATCAAATAAATATATGAGGAATAACAAAATATATAGTGATTGAATTGGAGAATTAATTAGTAGTTGGCTCATTTTACTCCAAAACAGTTCAAAAGGAAAGGAAAGAAATCATATTCCATTTTATACAGCTACCATTTGGTGTTCTTTTCAACTCCGCCATTCACATTTGGTATACTCGATCCTGATTGAAGCAGTAAAAAAGTATCATATCAAATTTCAGTTACGTGGCTAAAATGAATTACTCCTGCGGTTAATTTAGGTCAATAATCATGCCTCCTTTTTCCTTTTATAAATTTCTCTACGTTATTTTTGAATTATAAAAGGAAATGAAAATTAACTGTAATTGACCTATGTAATCATTGATGACGACGCTCAATCCTAGTATCTTTGTTCTTTTAATCCTAGTAATATAAAATATGGAGTAATAATTTTCTTCTACTTCTGGATTTTGGGATACTGCACTCTTTTATGAAATATACTTTATTAGTAATTACTGTGATCTAATTTCGCATATACAACCAACCAAACTTATAATAATTATTAATAAGTTGATAAATTAGGGTACATTAATTACTTTGCATATAGGACAAATATGAATCAATCATCAAGGGAGGGTTGGACTTGCAAGATCTACCCCACGATATGCTGCTTGTTCTTGTCCCCTTAATCTTCTCTTCTTTATTATAATATCCTATCCTTCACATGTTAGGTTTAAACAGCCGGTTACAAATTATTAATAAAATATTAGTAATTCTTTTATACATATTCAGGATCATGATCATTAGCTACCGCACAATTTGAATATGCTAATTCATAATAATAACAATCTATCTATCTATCTATCTATATATATATATATATATATATATATATATATATATATATATAAATCTGAATCAAGAATTGCTGATGTGGCATGCCTCTAAGGGCTGGA